GGCTTCACAGCAGTGAGAGCTTCTGAATAAAGTCAAGAAAATGTGACAGGCCGGGATGTGAGCTGAGGTCAGTTCAGCACAAAACTGTAAAAAAATAAATAATAATATTTGGCCTATTTACAGAATTTAAGGTAAAAGTATGCATGGATTTTAACATTGTGTTTTTTTAAAGTCATAAGAACTCACAGTTCATCATTTCTGTAGTTCCTATAATGAAGATCTCATCTCAAATACATTGCGTTCCAATTCTACTAATTGGATTTGGTGATTATTAATAGAATTGCTTTTTAGAATGTGAGAATGTGTTTTGAAAATCTTCTTAAACATAAAATATTGAAGTAAACATAAAATATTGTTTTGTTAGAAACCAGTCTGTCCAGGGTGTTTCCTGCTTTACACCCAATGAGCACTGGGATAGGCTCCAGCACCCCGTGACTCAGGAGGATAAGCAGCTTAGCTGAAGACTGAGTGAGTGAGTGAGTGAGCGAGTGAGTGAGTAAAATAGAAACCAGATTTGGTTTGGTTGAGGCTATGTTCACATTACCAGGTTGAAGTAGCACAAATCCGATTTTTTTGCCCTAATGTGACTCAGATCTGATGTTTTTAGAGCTTTATGGACGCACAAATCTGATCTTTTCAAATCTGACCTGAGCCACTTATGCTATGTTCACATTACCAGCCTCATTGCTCAAATCTGATTTTTTGCTCAAATCCGATCTCTCTGAAAGGATGGTTCACCCTTGTTTACGTAAGTGATTCAAATTTGTCATTAATGTGAACGAATCGGCGTCCTGAAATGACCCGCATGAGCTCATCCTACTCAGTAACGTCACGTGAATGAATCACGTTCATCATCAGCACAAACTAACGAGCAGAACGAGCTTCGCTGAGAAGATAATTAACTCTGATCAGCTCTCAGCTTCATTATTAGAGCGAGACGAAGGAGAAAAAGGTGAGATGAGCTGCTTTTCCACCGTTTACAGGCTTTAACTTCTGTATGGCGCTGCTGCCATGGTAACGCTGAATGATGGTGCACGCGCAGTGGAAAGAAAGCACATGAATTCCGATCTGAGCATCACATTAAGGTCGCATGACCACGTATCGGATATGCATCCGATCTAGGACCACATATGAAAGTGTCTCAGGTCGGATTTAAAAAGATCAGATTTGCGTGTCCACACAGCCCTGAAAACATCAGATCTGAGTCACATTAGGGCAAAAAATCAGATTTGTGCCACTTCAACCTGGTAATGTGAACGTAGCCTTTCATATATGGTCCTAGATTGGATACATATCCAATTCGTGGCCATGCGACCCTAATGTGAACGCTCAAATTCATGTGTTTTTTTTTTTGCATGCGCCACCATTCAGCATTATTTGTGCCACTACAACCTAGTAATGTGAACGTAGTCTTAGTGTCCAGATATGAACTGCAGGGAAGTGAATGGTACAGTTTGAATCTTTAACACTGTTTTATACCACATTTAACTCAAAAAACTCAGTTTTCCAGGATATGGGCCCTTTAAACTCCTGTCCAGAGTTGTGGAGCAGAAGCAGAGCCTTGCTGTCTCCAATTAAGTCTGTTTGCTTCCAGCGCTGACATATCACAGTTGCAAAGGATCATTTTAATGAGACAGATCTGTGTCTGGGAGACGACCAATCAAAATGCTGCTGGAAGACATGACTGTGCTTGTTTGAGTTAACGAAGGCACGTCCAGACGTTGCTGTTTCTTGGCCAAAAATAAACTTTGTAGATTCAGCCGGCGGCATTTACTGTAAGTGATACTCAGCTGACTTTTACTGGTGGATCTTCTTTCACCATAAGGCCATGAGCCCTCCATGATCATAAAGAGAAGTGCTGCTCTCAGCATCCGCTCCATTAGACAGCATCAGTATCAGCATTAGCGTTGGTCCCATCAGACAGGAAACAGCACTGAAACAACAGACGGGAGTTAAACATGCCGTCTTGAACAATGCTTTTCAATCATGCAGTGAAAGACCATCAGTTGTAGCTCAACGGAGTCGTACTGGTGCAGAAACATTTGCAATTGTTTGTACTTTTGCGCTCTGTTCCTTTATTTTAGCATGCAAAACTCACTTATAGTATTTGTGTGGTTGATTTACAGTTTCCACCCTCTCTTTATCCCTCCAAATAAACTTTTAAATTAATTACACTTTTTTTAACTGTTTTGTTACTGTGACTGATTATGTGTAAATGAGCTCTGTTCTGATGGGCTGCACTGTACTGTACCTCAGTCCAGGCTAAAAATGTGGATAAACAGTTAAGCTCAGGCTGTGATTCTCAGGGCAGTGTGCAGAAATAAACTTCAGTCACTCCTTTGTGATGTGTGGATCCTACAGTGATCTGTTTGCTTCCTGACAGCCAGGAACAGCACGACATTTAATCTTTTTTAATCTCTTCCACTCTAAAAACTCTGCTACAGACTGTTGGTAGGAACAACTCCCTGCATTACTTCAGCTGGAATGGGTGGAGTTAAATTGCTGTAGGTTCAGTGGGTGGAACTGAACTGCTGTAGGTTTGGTGGGTGGAGCTAATCTACTGTAGGTCCAGTGGGTGGAGCTGAACTGCTGTAGGTTCAGTGAGCGGAGCTAAACTTCTGTAGGTTTCAATGGGCGAAGCAAAAATGCTGTAGCTTCGGTGGGTGGAGCTAAACTACTGTAGGTTCAGTGGGTGGAGCTAAAATGTTGTAGCTTCGGTGGGTGGGGCTAGACTTCTGTAGGTTTCAATGTGTGGAGCTAAACTGCTGTTGGTCAAATGTGATCTTAGAAGTGTCCATTTTCTGTTTGTGCACAAAGTAAGTAGTAAAAACGTTCAAATGTCTTGAGCGTCTCCTACAGCTGTCAAAGTCGTTGCTTAGCAACGGCGTCTCAGAGGAGTGATACAGTGTTTTGCGAAAAACCTGTGATGTTATGGTGAAATAACAGCACAGTTAGAATGCCTCTCAACCAATCAGCTTGCGTGGCCGGAACTAACTGTTGTATAATGTTCAATACCTGTGAATCGTGAACTAAGAGTCTCTCATTGGACGATGCAATATGCCATGTTGTGTTGTGACACTCGTAATGGACAGTATATTGACAGTAAAGATATGATACGTTTTTGTGTCGGGCACATTTTTTGAAGGCTAGCAGTAACAAAAACAACGAAAGAGAGAGAGAAAACACAACAGCAACACTGATCACGAACTTGTGTTCAGGTAAATGTAGTTTCTGCTTTTGGGTCGTTTGCAATTTCTGTATAATTCAGTGTCTGAGATGTAAACAGAGTCATTCAGAGTGGTTTGATGTGAAATGGTTGATTGTAGAGACTCAGATGTCTTTACAGTGGTGGTGATAGGAACCAGGGGTTGCCATGACTACAACACAAATACAGCCATTTTATTTACTATCCAAAACCACCAGTGAACCTACACGAGTTTTATGTGTTGACGATGGTAAAATAGTGATAAAACTGAAAAAAAAACTTTTCTTTGGAGACTATTTTGCCTGCATGTACCTCTCCACCATGAATCAATAAAAAAAATTAGGCCAAAACTATCATAAATCAACGTCTCAAACATCAGGCAGTGTATCCATAACTCTAGAGCAGAGCATTTCACACCAAACCACTCTGAATAACTCTGTTTATGTCTTAACCAGGCAGTTATGCCAAAAAATGGGTGGAATTCTCTCTCTCTGTTGTTTCTTTTATTTATTCAGTACACTTTACCTCGTTTAGTCCTGTGCATGTTTGTCAGGGCGCTCTGTACTGTTCTCTCTGTGTTCCCCCCGTGACGCAGGTACCACAGATCGAGGTGGACTTACATGCACTCTGCCGCAGTCTCTCTGTCCCGTATGTGTAACTGGGTCAGTCTTCAGGCTGCTGCTGTTTACTGGTGTGTTAAATGCCAGCTGCTGCCTCACCTCAGCTGATCTGCAACAGCAGCTGAACTGCTCATCTGCACTGCGCTGGAACAGGGCTCTCATTAAACTCAGTTAAATAAAGCAATCAATTAACATTTACCTTCTCTATGAATCAGCAGTGATTAGTTGGTAATTTGTATGATGATAATGCATAGTTTTAATTCTCTTACTCATCTCAGTTACAGTCCTATTCAAAAGTTTGTACACCCCTGGTTAAATCACATGTTTTGTTAATTAAAGTGAAAACATCTTCTACAAAGGAGAAACTGAAATATGCCATTTTTGTGCTCAATGTAGTTCACAGTTTCTTTTTTTTGCCAAGTTTGACATATTGGAAAAAATAAAAGGTGCCATAACTTTTGCACAGGCCACTCACTGTCCACTCTATTAGACACTCCTACCTTGTCAGTCCACCTTGTAGATGTAAAGTCAGAGACGATAGCTCGTCTGCTGCTGCACAGTTTGTGTTGGTCATCCTCTAGTCCTTCATCAGTGGTCACAGGACGCTGTTGGCTGGATATTTTTGGTTGGTGGACTATTCTCAGTCCAGCAGCGACACTGAGGTGTTTAAAAACTCCAGCAGCACTGCTGTGTCTGATCCACTTGTACCAGCACAACACACCACCACCACATCAGTGTTACTGCAGTGCTGAGAATGATCCACCACCCAAATAGTACCTGCTCTGTGAGGGTCCACGGGGGTCCTGACCACTGAAGAACAGGGTAAAAGGGGGCTAACAAAGTATGCAGAGAAACAGATGGACTACAGTCTGTAACTGTAGAACTACAAAGTGCACCTATATAGTAAGTGGAGCTGATTAAATGGACAATGAGCACAGAAACAAGGAGGTGGTCATAATATTATACCTGATCGGTGTATATATATTTTTACTGTGGGAGCGCGGTTTGAACTAAAGTGGTAGAATGGTCCATATACTAATATGGTTAGAGGGAGAACAGCTGTGTGGGACACAACTGGTCCTTGATGCAGAATCAAATATTTAAGTGTAAAACTTCACACTTTTAATCAATAAAGTTTGGTGAATATTTTTAACCCCTCTCTCTTTTTCTCACAGAGGTGTCCCCAGTCTTGGCGGGATTTCTTGGCGCGGGTGTCTTGGTCATCACGGTGACAGTGGCCATTTTCCTGTGGACGTGCTGCCAACGCCACTATCGCCGAATGTCCGGCTCGTTCAAGCTGACCAGCGGTCCTTACGACCCGCCCGTCGACCCACCCTACAAGTTCATCCACATGCTGAAGGGCATCAGCATCTACCCGGAGACGCTCAGCAACAGCAAGAAGATCATAAAGGCAGGCCGGTGGCGCTCAGGTCTGGGGCACCTGTCACGGCAACGGGATCACGGTGGGACGCTGCTGGTGGACGCCGACCCGGAATGCGCAGCGCAGCTGCAGATGAACCACCTGGTGCCCCCCGCTGGTCCTCCGCGCCTGGAGAGGGCGCTGCCCATCCGAGCTGACTACTGCTGTTTAGAGAGCAGCTCGGCCAGCAGCAGCAGCGACTCAGCCAGCAAAACCCCCACGCCGTTCAGCCTCAGCTCACCTTCTCTGGGCAACCTCAGCCTTGCCATCGATTATAACTTCCCCAAGAAGGCCCTGGTGGTCACCATCTTAGGCGCCCACGGTCTACCAGCCATAGACGAGCAAACAGGAAGCTCCGACCCCTACGTGAAGATGACCATCCTGCCGGAGAAGAAACACAGAGTGAAGACCCGAGTGATGAGGAAGACTCTGGAGCCGGCCTTCGACGAGACCTTCACCTTCTACGGCGTTTCCTACAGCTCTCTGGCCGAGCTGACGCTCCACTTCCTGGTGCTGAGCTTTGACCGGTTTGCGCGAGACGATGTGATCGGCGAGGCAGTCGTGCCGTTGGTGGGAGTGGACCCCAGCACAGGAAAAGTGCACATCACTCAGAACATCACCAAGAGGAACATACAGGTGAGACATGCAGTGAAAACAGTGCTGCACTAAACTTACTTCATTTAAATGTGTACATCATTAGCACAACAAACATCAAATAAACAAACATCACTCACTGCCGCCCTCTAAAGGCGTCATTAATAAACATCAAATAAACAAACATCACTCACTGCGGCCCTCTAAAGGCGTCATTAACAAACATCAAATAAACAAACATCACTCACTGCCGCCCTCTAAAGGCGTCATTAATAAACATCAAATAAACAAACATCACTCACTGCGGCCCTCTAAAGACGTCATTAACAAACATCAAATAAACAAACGTCACTCACCGCCGCCCTCTAAAGGCGTCATTAACAAACATCAAATAAACAAACATTACTCACCGCCGCCCTCTAAAGACGTCATTAACAAACATCAAATAAACAAACGTTACTCACCGCCGCCCTCTAAAGGCGTCATTATCAAATATCAAATAAACAAACGTCACTCACCGCCGCCATGTAATAGCGTTATTAACAAACATCAAATAAACAAACATCACTCACCGCTGCCCTCTAAAGGCGTCATTAACAAACATCAAATAAACAAACATCACTCACCGCCGCCCTCTAAAGGCGTCATTAACGAACATCAAATAAACAAACGTCACTCACCGCCGCCCTCTAAAGGCGTCATTAACGAACATCAAATAAACAAACGTCACTCACCGCCGCCCTCTAAAGGCGTCATTAACGAACATCAAATAAACAAACGTCACTCACCGCCGCCCTCTAAAGGCGTCATTAACGAACATCAAATAAACAAACGTCACTCACCGCCGCCCTCTAAAGGCGTCATTAACGAACATCAAATAAACAAACGTCACTCACCGCCGCCCTCTAAAGGCGTCATTAACGAACATCAAATAAACAAACGTCACTCACCGCCGCCCTCTAAAGGCGTCATTAACGAACATCAAATAAACAAACGTCACTCACCGCCGCCCTCTAAAGGCGTCATTAACGAACATCAAATAAACAAACGTCACTCACCGCCGCCCTCTAAAGGCGTCATTAACGAACATCAAATAAACAAACGTCACTCACCGCCGCCCTCTAAAGGCGTCATTAACGAACATCAAATAAACAAACGTCACTCACCGCCGCCCTCTAAAGGCGTCATTAACGAACATCAAATAAACAAACGTCACTCACCGCCGCCCTCTAAAGGCGTCATTAACGAACATCAAATAAACAAACGTCACTCACCGCCGCCCTCTAAAGGCGTCATTAACGAACATCAAATAAACAAACGTCACTCACCGCCGCCCTCTAAAGGCGTCATTAACGAACATCAAATAAACAAACGTCACTCACCGCCGCCCTCTAAAGGCGTCATTAACGAACATCAAATAAACAAACGTCACTCACCGCCGCCCTCTAAAGGCGTCATTAACGAACATCAAATAAACAAACGTCACTCACCGCCGCCCTCTAAAGGCGTCATTAACGAACATCAAATAAACAAACGTCACTCACCGCCGCCCTCTAAAGGCGTCATTAACGAACATCAAATAAACAAACGTCACTCACCGCCGCCCTCTAAAGGCGTCATTAACGAACATCAAATAAACAAACGTCACTCACCGCCGCCCTCTAAAGGCGTCATTAACGAACATCAAATAAACAAACGTCACTCACCGCCGCCCTCTAAAGGCGTCATTAACGAACATCAAATAAACAAACGTCACTCACCGCCGCCCTCTAAAGGCGTCATTAACGAACATCAAATAAACAAACGTCACTCACCGCCGCCCTCTAAAGGCGTCATTAACGAACATCAAATAAACAAACGTCACTCACCGCCGCCCTCTAAAGGCGTCATTAACGAACATCAAATAAACAAACGTCACTCACCGCCGCCCTCTAAAGGCGTCATTAACGAACATCAAATAAACAAACGTCACTCACCGCCGCCCTCTAAAGGCGTCATTAACGAACATCAAATAAACAAACGTCACTCACCGCCGCCCTCTAAAGGCGTCATTAACGAACATCAAATAAACAAACGTCACTCACCGCCGCCCTCTAAAGGCGTCATTAACGAACATCAAATAAACAAACGTCACTCACCGCCGCCCTCTAAAGGCGTCATTAACGAACATCAAATAAACAAACATCACTCACCGCCGCCCTCTAAAGGCGTCATTAACGAACATCAAATAAACAAACATCACTCACCGCCGCCCTCTAAAGGCGTCATTAACGAACATCAAATAAACAAACATCACTCACCGCCGCCCTCTAAAGGCGTCATTAACGAACATCAAATAAACAAACATCACTCACCGCCGCCCTCTAAAGGCGTCATTAACGAACATCAAATAAACAAACATCACTCACCGCCGCCCTCTAAAGGCGTCATTAACGAACATCAAATAAACAAACATCACTCACCGCCGCCCTCTAAAGGCGTCATTAACGAACATCAAATAAACAAACATCACTCACCGCCGCCCTCTAAAGGCGTCATTAACGAACATCAAATAAACAAACATCACTCACCGCCGCCCTCTAAAGGCGTCATTAACGAACATCAAATAAACAAACATCACTCACCGCCGCCCTCTAAAGGCGTCATTAACGAACATCAAATAAACAAACATCACTCACCGCCGCCCTCTAAAGGCGTCATTAACGAACATCAAATAAACAAACATCACTCACCGCCGCCCTCTAAAGGCGTCATTAACGAACATCAAATAAACAAACATCACTCACCGCCGCCCTCTAAAGGCGTCATTAACGAACATCAAATAAACAAACGTCACTCACCGCCGCCATGTAATACTGTTATTTGCAAACATCGATTAAACAAGCATCACTTTAAAGCCCTTTAAAAGCTTTATTAACAGATATCAAAAACTGCCGTGAGTGACTGCAGTTAGCTTAACCTCTTAAAACCCCAGACTTCTGACATACTAAGCCTTATTATTCAGTAACTACAGGAACTTAAGTGCAATTAAAACCTAATAATAAACCTTTGGCCCATGTAAGGGGTTAATTAATTGCAATCAAATCACTATATAAGAGTTGTGACTGGCCAAGTTTCAGAGATAAATGGGACGCATTCTGCACTTGTTTTATGTGTGAGGCTAAAGGTGCAGTTTAAAATGCAAAAAACACTCTTCATGCATATGCTTTTGCGGGAAAGCAGCGCTAAACGTGGGAGGATCACTCAGAAAATGGGTGGGGATGTTACACATGCAGCTGATTACATTTACAGCTCGACTTACTGAAGTTTGACTCATGGTGGCTTGTTTTGCCTTACCATCAGAAAGCCAGGCATATATTTGCATCAAATCTAAGATGCGTTTTTGAGAGATTTCCTACAGGGTCAGCCCACACAGCGGTTAGCCGAAGAAACGAGCCTCGGACACATGCTGAAAGAATGTTTACCATCAGAATAACACAGTTAAACTCCAGGGACGGGTGTATGTGGTAAAATATGCCATGATGGAGCTGCACTAAGCACGCAGTGCATTTCTGTAGAACTAAGCTTTTCAAATCAAACCACTCTGATGGACTTAACCATCTTTACCTTTTCGTAATGTAGAAACCTTGAAAAATCAGTTGAATTCTCCTTTAACGTTCAACTCATGTAGTCTTAAAGGGGTATTTATGGTGTGATGTTATGATTTATAGTTCTGTTATTCATGTAAGTCACTGAACAGGAGTTTAAGAGATGTTTGTTGAAGGATTGCAAGGATGAAGAAGTATTAATCATACTGAAGTATTATGATATAAATGTAGAAGAGATGAGGGGGGGTTAGTGAGGAGGCAGGCCTGCAGGTGATGCAGGTGAGCTAAAATGAGAAATGTGTGGAAAAATACAGAGTGATGATGTTGAGGAAGAGGTAGCAGAAGGATTTTGAGAGAGATAATAATTGACTTTCTAGAGCACATAGCAGGGGGTCATGAATTTGCATAATAAATGCGCATGTAATTAAATATGCATGAAGAGAATTCATCAATTATGTAACAGCCGTTGGGTTTTGTAGGATTTCTAAAGCATTTTTCTTGGCATTTTCAAATATTCTGTCAAATAGATGCTTTTCCACATGAACTCAAACACAACAGCAGAAATGCATCCCAACACACACCTTCTTGTACAGTGCAGTTCAGATGTCAGAGAACGCTCTTCATTCGTTTAATTCCCTGTCAGAACGGCAAATAAGCACAAGCTATTCATTTTTTAGGGTCAGAAAAAAGGAGAAAACGTATACTTAACAGAAAATCACACAGGATCCTCAAGAACTAAATATGATATCAGTATTTTCAGTAGTTTTACCTTCATTACAGCTTCCATTCTTTTCAGGAGACTCACTTTCAGTTTATCAAAGAAATCTGCAGACACACCTCCAGAGTTCAGTCTTAAGGCTCATTTGTACTCTCTATTCAATTGATGTAACCTGCACTGCCCACATACACTATATTGAGTATTCACTCACCCATCTAAATCATTGAATTCAATCACTTCCATGGCCAAAGGTGTATAAAACCAAGCACCTAGGCCTGCAGACTGCTTCTACAAACATTAGTGAAAGAATGGGTCTCTCTCAGGAGCTCAGTGAATTCCAGCGTGGTACCGTGATACGATGGCACCTGTGCAACAAGTCTAGTCGTGAAATTTCCTCGCTACTAAATATTCCACAGTCAACTGTCAGTGGTATTATAACAAAGTGGAAGTGATTGGGAACGACAGCAACTCAGCCCCGAAGTGGTTGGCCACGTAAAATGACAGAGTGTGGTCAGCGGATGCTGAGGCGCATAGTGTGCAGAGGTCGCCAACTTTCTGCAGAGTCAATCGCTACAGACCTCCAAACTTCATGTGGCCTTCAGATTAGCTCAAGAACAGCGTAGAGAGCTTCATGGAATGGGTTTCCATGGCCGAGCAGCTGCATCCAAGCCTTACATCACCAAGCACAATGCAAAGCGTCGAATGCAGTGGTGTAAAGCGCCGCCACTGGACTCTAG